GAGCGTAGGTGAGAATGAGGTCGCGCGTCGCGAGATCCGTGTGTATGATGACACCACAGTCGCGGAGTTGTCCAGCCGAGAGCAGGTTGAAGCGGATATTTGGGACGTAGAGCACGTCGTTGAACGAGATGTGTGTGTTGCTATCTCGTGCTTGCAGGACGACAAGTCCTTGCGAGTTGGCGCGCAGCTGCTCGTTGTTAGCGACGGTGACGTAGGTTGCGGGGGCGCGGCTCAGGTTGGAGACATAGCGCGTTGATCCCACCATGTGCTGTCCGCAGCAGCTGTCCAGGTACCATGTGTTATGGTTGTCGGTGTTGTTTCGTCGTAGCAGTAGCGCCAATCGAGGAGTCACCAGGGTCGCTTTGTAGCGCCTGTGAAAGAATAGGTCTTCGTCCTCCTTCCAGCCTACTGGTACGTAGTGCTGATTGTCATGTGGCGGGCTTTCCCGCAGTGTGATTGGTAGATTCCAATCTTGCTCGTCTTCGTCATGATCGTAGTAGTGGTCCTCAGTGAGGGGATTGTTCCATCCCTCTTCCGGCTCCAGAAGTCTTCCTTGGACTTCGTTCTCTTCGTCAGGTTCAGCAGTGCGGCGACGGCGCGTCGCCATGTTCGCAATGATGTTCCTCGGAGCTCCTGACTGGGGTCCTTGATTTTGTTGGTGTTGATGTTGTGGAGGAGGACGAGCTTGCTGATGCTGAGGTTGAGAATGACGAGCGTCTTGTCGGCCGACCCAGTTGTTGTGGTGAGTGGAATTTGGGTGGCGGAAGTTGGATCGGGACTTGCATCGATCCGTTGAGTGTCCGAAGACTTTGCATATTTTGCAGTAATGGCGCCTTGGTTGTCGTCGCTCTTCTCGATTGTCCGTGTAGAAGGCGAGGCGCTCTCGGCGCGGCGCGGAGCTTGTTCTGCTCGAGTCCATGTCCTGCTGTTCGGACAGGAGTGCGGCGCATAGCACGGCTTCGGATAGAATTCCTCGCTGTCGGAGTAGTGCTTTGCAGGGCTTCCACTCTGGCCCGAGTCCTTGAAGGACTATGTTGACGAAGATCTCTTCCGAGATCGTACTCCCATGCTTCGTGATTTGGTCACGAATGTTGCGACAGCGGTTAATGTAAGGATTTGCCTTCTCCCCGTGCCCCATTTTAATCTCCAGGAGTTGCTGCAGAAGCCTGCTGGCGGTGACCGAATCCTTCGGCTGATAAACCTCAATGAGGTGCTTCCAAGCTTCCATTGCTGGAGCGTCGCTCTCTTTGTAGGAGCGTATGTTGAGTTGTTCCGCAGGCGTCATGTTTCGTAGCAGCACACTGTAGGCCATGAGGGACTCACTGTAGTACTGAGCCCTGGCGACGTCGGTGTTTTCCACCGGTTTAGGATAGGAGCCGTCGAAGTAATGGTAGATCTGCGCTGTCTGTAGGAGGAGCTCAAGCTCGAAACTCCATGTATAGAAGTCTTTGCCGTCAAACGCGGCAGTAGTCTTGATTTTTGAAACGCTGAGAAAGCGTGCTCGCGCAGAGTTGATAGCTTCATCACTTGGACGGGGGGCAGTTGTTGTTGATTTGTCTGTGTCGAGGGAGAAGGTGTGCGCGGCGGTATCACGGCTTTTCTCAGCCAGTTGTCCAGGTTGTGCTGGTTGGGAAGAAGTTACCGTATCGCCTTTGCGCAGGTCTTGGAGTTCTTTCTCCATAGTTGAAAGTCGAGCGAAAAGTTGCTCGAGGGCGGCAGTGCCGATCGTAGTTGTCGCCTCATTTATCGCAACCGGGTTGGACTGTCTTTCAGCCGTCAGATTTGCTTGGCCTCCGGATCCTCCGGCCATCTTGGTCTTGGAGCGTGTGCCGCTCGCCAGATCTTGGTTCGGCAAATTTTACGAGAGTGAAGTTGCGAAGAATCCCTGAGTAGCTCTCATACCATGTTACAATCCCAAGTGGGACTTAGCGAAGGATCGCTCAGGGTTGATCGCAGAGTAGTGTTGCAGCGGAAGTTTTTGAATCTCAGGTCAGAGTGAATGTAAATGACTGAGTTGATAATAGCATGCATATATCGAGTTTATATAAGAATACAAGGGAATACGAAAAGACCTAGACTAGCCATGTACTCTAAGGGGTACATTCCCTTATTGCAGCGAATTCAAACCGTGCGGCGCGGGAACCCGTTTTGAACCTGTTCCCGCCTTTTTCATTTCGAATGTTTCTGCCTGCACTGGTCTTGATCTGACGGTTGCTTGCGTCGCTTCGACTCTTCTGACTCCTCGACTTCGTACTCGGTAGAGTCGGCTCCTGCAGCATACAGGAATGCCTACTCATAAAACTTCATATCGTAACAGAATTGTACCAACAACACCACCTTGTACACCAATGTCGCAATATGTAGGTGTGATGTGATGTCACTACTCACCACCATTCCGACAAACCACTCAGTTTTCCTGTAACACTCAACAATCAACAAGCTTTAGAGTGTTACATTCACATGTTTGCAACTCTAATTTCTTTACTCATATAATCAGGAAGGAAAACAAGTGGACACCCATGTTATAAAAATTATAAAAATATTTTCCAGCCACGCAGACCTGTTTGGTCTGAGCCCCAGCCAATCCAGTCAGCGGCTAGGTCTCTCCCTCCATCATTAGCACCGTGCTGACAACTTTGGTTTGAACTTTGACATGTTGATTCTGCTCCGACGGATAACGTTGAATTATGAACTGGGTGATCCAGCTTGGCGCCGCGCTGAACTTGAAATGCCTGCGGCCTTGGGGCAGTGAACGAGAGTCGCATCACGTGCAGTCAAGTGGGTCCGCTCTGAGGAGGAATTGCTTCTCAATTGTCCCCAACGGTTTACAGCAAGAAACCACTAATACGTATTTCCCCTGACTTTCACCAGCTCAAGCTTCTCAAGTACGTAGGTTGGTTTTCCAGTTCCGAAGACATCTGCCCTCAGGTTGTAAGTCTCGTAAATCTAGCCACCCGTTTTCCAAAGCTGCGTTGTTGGAACAAATAGGAAATGGGGACGATCGACGAATACCCAGAACGATCAAAGGACACAAAAATGGTGGTCTGTCCAAATATTCATGCCGCCCTTGTGTGATGGGGCATAAATGCATTTTATCTCTGCAAAACCTGCGTTGGTTCTCATGATAGTTCTCGTAACCCGTCCTTGCGCGTAGGCCGAGCTGTCCGCTACGGTGTACAGTTCTCACACCCTGAGTCAGCAATTCGCACTTGAACTGCTCGCTCTCAGATGATTCACTTTTCCGCTTACAACACTTTTCACATGTCACTGAATTAGCAGGTGTTTGATCATCGGCTTTTAGCCCAAGTGAAACATGTTATAACACATGGTACATAGACCCAAATCCTCCCAGGGTTCTCTCAAGCACCGTACACGCACTACCTCCTCCTAGGAAGGTTTGAATTTCCCGTTTCCTGGTCCGTGATCAGGTGTAACTGGATTCTTGTCTCCGTTGTTTGGTTCATTTCCCCACAACCACCCCTGCATTCCCCGCACTGAACGCCACGCGCCCGCTTCCTGCAGTGCAACCAAACCTAGATTTTCACTGCACTGCAGCACACACAAGCTCTTCTCGTCTCCTGCAGAGCGGGGACGCGTCATATGTTGGAAGGTTGAGTACGATGCGTTGCATTTTGTCGTGGTTCGTCGGTTCACCGTTTAAAACCACCACTCACCTCTCTCAACATTGATACTGTACGTCAACGGATAACACCCTCAAATGACACACAGCAGCACGCACGCCTTTCTTTCTAACCAACTCGATCTTGGGAATACAATATCTTGGTTTCCGGCAGTTCAACAATTACTCATCCTTTCCGTTATCCTCAACCAGCCCATCTAAGCTGCAATGTCTCCTGTGTCTTGCGTCTAGTTCGTAGACATCTCGGCTTCTACCAACGTCAGCCGTCTTACACTCTCAGCCCTTTGGTTGGGACTTCAAATAAGGATTGTCAACAGCAAGTTTATATTTTCTTTTTTTCGTCTCTATTATATTTAACGAAATTGATTAATACGATGCGGCCAAGATCCGTTTCTCCGTCACCTCGCAATGCCACTACTGGCGAGTCCATTCGTAACGGGGACGGGAGGAATGTTAGCCCGTTAAAATCGGCAGTCAGCGGCGCGACATTGCTAGAGCGCCGGCAGTATCGACCCCTCGCTGTAGTCACGCACGCGCGGCCGACGTCCGCTCGTTCTTCTTACAATCATGAAGACGACCATCAGGATCGTGACGCGTCGCATCACCACCTGCAGCAGCATCACCATGATTATTCCAGCAAACCCCCTCGCTCGCCGCTCCACTCCCCGTTTCACTCCCCCCGCGGCGTTGTTACGCGCAACCATCACCCAATGACTCCCCCCGCAAGCTGGTCCGTGCCCAGCGCGGGGGGGGATTCGGGGGGCACTGGCGGAGGCGGAATTGGCGGAGACGTCACTGGCAAAGATAGAATGGGCGGCATCGGCGGAGATAGTAACAGGTTTGGCGGAGATTACAGCAGCAGCGGTATTGGAAGCGGGAGCAGCCGCCGCAACGGGCTTGAGCCTTCAAGCTCCCGCCATTCTAGGTCAGCCGCGTCAAGCCCGCGGGTGATGGATTCCGTTTTCGGGCTTGGAACGGAGAGCAGCACGAGCGGACGGCGGGCGTCTTTCGAGGAAGGCGCGGAGTCATACGTGGCAAATCGCCGCCGCGAGTTTTCAAAGGGTTCGGTCAGCCCGCCTCGCTGCGTATCTGGCGACTCGTCGGATTTCGTAAATTTCGCCCGCGAATCAGGGCGAAGGCCGGCCAATCATGGCTCTCCCCGCGTGACTAGTAATGTCTTCGATACAAGCCAATCCGATACTCGTTCGGCTGAACTGCTACCGCATCCGCCGTCTTTCGAGAATCTAGTTGAAACGGACAAGCAGTCAGTCAACTCGCGCGACGCGCCCGTCTCTTTCCGCGAAATTTCCGCCGCCGGCGGTGACGCCAGCACTTCCGTTACCTTCCACAGCCCAGCGGAATGTTCGCCGGTATCTCCGGCGCGATCTCCGGCGCTATCCCCGGCGTTATCCCCGGCGGGATCTGGGACCGCATCCCCAGTAACCGGTTCGCCGGGTCGAAAAAATATATTTAACTATTCCATCGTTAACTCTTCGTCAGACGGTGCGAAGTGGGAGGGTGTAACCCCTTCCGAGCATAGGGTTACCAGACGCAGCCAACAAGTAGCCGGCGATCGCGCGGAGAAATCAAATACGGACAAAAAGCCAATAGGCGGAGAAATTCCCGCTTGGCTTCCCAGCGGGGGGGTGAAGCAGGCGGAAAGGGATCTCTGGGGCCCGCCCCGCGGGGGAAGCGGAAGCAGGGGCGGAGGGGGAAGCGCGGGGGTCCCTCTTGCGTTCTCCGTCTCCCCGCGAGGCTCCCCGCGCGGCTCGCCGCTGCGCCCCGAGAAGCGGCTTGTGTCTTACGCGTCGCTAGACCCGCCTGGCGCTTTTAGGAGCCGAGGAGGTAAGGGCGGTCTAGACTGGCTTGAGGAGATTAAGAAGGGAGAGGGAGGAGGGGGCGGTGATGGCGGATTTGGCGGAAGTGGCGGAGGTGGTGGGGGGAGCAGTAGGGGCAGTGGGGGCGGCAGGGGAGGGGAATTGCGGGCGAACGCCGGAGAGGCTGGGGGGGAGAGCAGGCGGGGAGCGCTTCCCTCCGCAAGTGGCGGCGCTGGCGGTGCTGGCAGCTTTGGAAGAAGCGGGGGAGGCGGAGGAGGAGGGGGCGGAGGCGGAGGGGGAGGGGGAGGGGGAGGGGGAGGGGGAGGGGGAGGGGGAGGCGGAGGCGGAGGGTTCGGGGGAGCAAGCGCACATGGCATGGGCGGCGGCGCAGGCTTCCCTTTCCCCTCGCGCCCCCGCAGCTCCCCCTTAGGAAACAAGCTCATGTCGTATTCGTCTCTGGACCGCCCCTGTAGGCCCGAGGTGGGGGCAGGCGGGGAGGGGGACGCGGGGAACTTGAGCTGGCGCCAGCTGGTGGCGCAACTGAAAGAGGGGGAGGAGCTGAAGGAGGGGAACGAGGGGGAGGAGGGGAGTGACTGGGAGGAGCGAGAGCGCAGGGGCACGAGGGCCAGTAGTAGCAGCCGTGGTGGTGCTGCTAGGGATAGAAAAAGCGCCGCCGGCGCTGCTGCTGCTGCTGCTGGTGGTCACGGCAGCAGCAGCGCTGGCGGCGGCGGTGGCGGTGGTAGTGGTGGCGGCGGTGGTGGCGGTGGCGGTGCTGCTGCCAGTGGTGCTGCTGGCGGCACGGCGATAACAGCGGTGAGTGCTCGCCCAAAGTCCAGGCACAGGCGAGGGGCGTCGTTCCATTCCCTCTCTCCCCTCGACTCCGCTAGCAGTGACACAACCTTCAGCTCGCTGTCGCAGCAGCCTGCTATCGGGACAGCTCGTAACGCGGATCGTTTTGGCAGTGCTGCTGGTGCTAGCGGCAACAGTAGGCTATCTGGTGGTGGTGGTGGTGCTTCTGCTGCTGCTGCTGCTGCTGCTGCTGCTGCTGCTGCTGCTGCTGCTGCTGCTGCTGCCGGTGCCGCTGGTGCTGGTTCTGCTTGTCCCAAGCCAAGGCACCGGCGAGGCTCCTCTCTCCACTCCTTTCCCCCTATTGACACCACAAGCAGTGAAGCTATTTTCGACTCGATCCAACGGGCAGCCGAAAAAGAAGCAAGTCATTCCGGCGACCTTTACTCCCCAGTCAGCACCAGGCCAGCCACTGCCGCAAATACTTCCGGGCAGTTTGACGGGTATTGGGGCAGCGAAGACACGGATTCCGGGTCGTTTAATGCGAGAGAGGAAGTACCCAAAGGAAGGCTGCACAGGCCGTATCAGGGGTCTGCCAATATAAGCGAGCTATTGGGGTCGAGGATTAGCAGAGCACGGGAGCGGTCTCAGCCTAGGTCGAAAGAGAGAACGGGGGAGAGAGATGTTGGGAGGAGGGAGAGGACGGGGGAGAGGCGAGGTGAGGGGAAGGGGGTAGTGGGTGAGGTGGTAAAGGGGGAGCAGGAGCATGAGGGGCAGCAACAGCAGCAGCAGCAGCAGCAGCAGCAGCAGCAGCAGCAGCAGCAGCAGCAGCAGCAGCAGCAGCAGCAGCAGCAGCAGCAGCAGGGGAAGGAGAAGGTGAAAAGTCCGAGGGGCAGTTTGGGAATCAAGGGAATATTGCACGTCGCATCCTCCCGCCTCCGCTCCCTCCTCCCAGACTCCACCTCTCCCACTGGCAGCACCACCACCACCACAAGCAGCACCACAGCCGCTACAGCTGCCACTGCTGCCCCTCCCAGCAGCGCTCCCAGCATCAGCAGCGGTGTTCCCATGGGGAGCAGTAGTGGCAGCTATAGGCCGACCTCCCAGGAGGCTCCTGCTGCTCTCGCGTCCTTCTCCCTCAAGTCTTCAGACGCTGCAGGTGGGGAGAGTGACAGGGGGAGGAGGCCGGCGAGTGAGGTAGCAGGCCGCGTGGGGGGGATTCGGGGTAGGTTTGGAAGGCGGAAGCAGAGGCATGGGGGGGAGGAGGAGGAGGGGGAGGAGGGGGAGGAGGGAGGGGTGGATAGCCGAGGGGAGAGTCCATTGGGGAGTGGAGAAAGGGAAGGTGGTGCTGGGGGAGGTGGTATTGGTGGCGGTGTGGGCGGCAAGTCTCGGCATCAAGCGCGCCGCCGCCAGCACAGCGCTGACGAGCTTCCGAGAGTGCCTGCGTCACTGCTGGTTACCCCCCCTGTGTCGCCCCCGAATCAGTCGGAGTATGCAGCAGGATCGGTGGCAGAAGGAGGAGGAGAAGCAGCAGCAGCAGAAGCAACAGCAACAGCAGCTGCAGCTGCTGCAGTGTCAGCAAAAGCACTTCACGAGCGTCTGGCTCACAGGGATAGGGCGCGCAGGGAGGCTGCTGCAGGGGGTGGAGCACGGCGCGCATTGGGAATTTCGGGGGTAATTGCCCCGAGAGGAGATACCGTGGGTTCTGGGGCGGGAGCGTCCACAGGACAGGGCAAGGGCGGGGCTTCCTCTGGGCGGGTGATTTTGTCTGATTATGACGTCGAATCGATTCCTCATGGGAAGTTAGCTGAGTTGCTGGGCCAGAGGCAGGATGGGGGAGGGAGGGCATCAGGAGGGGTAGGTGTGGTGGGAGCGAGTAAGGGACGGCGAGGGGAGGAAGAGGCCGGGGAGCATGAAGGGAAAGGGAAAGGGCAGGTCAGGGAACGGGGCAAGGTCATGGACGGAGAGATAGGGAGCAGCAGCAGCGGCGGCGGCGGCGGCGGCGGCAGCGGCAGAGGTGATAGTGGTCGCAGTGAAGGCAGGAGAGTTGTTCCCGGCTGCACCAGCGTTGACAGCAGCAGTTACAACATTAGCAGCGGCGGCAGCGGCGCCGGTAGCAGCAGCGGCAAACCAACCCAGCGGCAGCTGCAGCAGCAGCTGCTGCACTCCTCCCTGGCTCTCCAAACCCAGCTGATGACGCAGCATCAGAAGAAGAAGGGGCCTCCAGGGTCGGCTCTCATGCTGGAAAAGGTCTCCACGCACTCGGAATTGGACAATAAGAAAAAAGCGGCGGGGGCAGGGAAGAAGCAGCAGGCTGATAGCATTCTGGCGCAGCTGGCAAGTCAGGGCAGCGGAGGAGGGGTGGGAGTGGGGTCTGGGCGACGAGAAAGAGGCGGAGGAGGAGGAGGGGAAGCAGGGAGGCTCAGTGCTGCGATTGGCACTGGCGCTGGCGCTGGTGCTTCTGCTGCTGGTGCTGGTGCTGCTGCCAGTGCTGCTGCAGCTGGTGCTGGCGGTGCTACCAAGGGTGCGATTGGTGTTGCTACGAGCAGCAGCAGCGGGTTACCAGTGATGAGGCAGTACGGCAGCATCCGCCCGTCGGACTACATCCTAAAGAAGCCGTACAAGGACCTGGCGGTGCGGTATGTGCTGCACAAGGAGGAGCTGGGCAGCGGCGAGTATGGGGTCATTCGCAAGTGCCTGGAAATTTCTTCTGGGCATGTGCTCGCATGCAAGACTATAAAAAAGGCGCGCATCAAGGTATGTGATCTGATGGACGGTTGAGATGAAGGTTGGGTACAAGGGCAGTGCGTGCATGGTGTGTCCGTTCATGGGGCCCTGGCGGCGCGGTATGTGCTGGCGGCGCCGTGCATGGTGTGTCCGTTCATGGGGCAGGGCAAAGTGAGTTCTGAAGAAGCCATACAAGGACCTGGCGGCGCGGTATGTGCTGCACAAGGAGGGGCTGGGCAGCGGCGAGTATGGGGTCATTCGCAAGTGCCTGGAGATCTCCTCGGGGCATGTGCTCGCCTGACCATCAAGAAGGCCCGCATCATGGTGGTTGGCTGAACAGACGGTTGGGATGAAAGCTTGGTAGAATGAATGGCCAGGATGAAGGTATTGAAGTGCAGTGCCTGGAGATCTCCTCGGGGCATGTGCTCGCCTGCAAGACCATCACGAAGGCCCGCATCAAGGTGAGTGGTTGTACGGACGGTCCAGATTGAGCAACGAACGATAAAAAGAAAGAGGAAAGAAACATAGAAAGAAAGAGAGAAAGAATGACATAAAATGAGAAGACTGTTTGGGTAGAACATAAGGCTTTCTCAACAAACAGCTGTATGCTAATTGGTTCCACTATCTACATTTACTTTTAGGTTTTGAGTCGTCTCAAAAGGCGTCTCAAAAATCGTTTGTTAACTGGTCCCACGTTCTACATTTACTTTTAAGGGGGTTTTTTTTCTCTCTCAGAATGCTTGCTTGTCTCCCTCCCAGGCACACCTCTTTCCAATGCTGGCAGCTGAACCACCAATTTGGCTCCTCACTGATTTTCCGTCCCACACCTCTTTCCAATGCTGGCTCCCCCTTGCTGTCTACACCCATTTCTCAACACCATCACTCTCTGGTTTGTGCACCCCCAAACCCCATTCTAGATCACACGCCTTGCTTCCCGCCCCCTCCTCCCACCACTCCGCCCCCACCCCCCCCAACATCCTGCGTCACATCGCATACCCTCCTCTCCCCTTTCCTCCTAGCTCTATGCTCAACCTCCTATCCTGCATCGCACTCCATCCCTCCCCTATCCCTCACTCCTCAACTTCCCTCTCCCTCACACCCAAGAGGCAAGTTCAAAGTAGAGGACACCAGCAGGCACAACCCTCTTCCCCCGCTCCCCTCCCACCTTAATGCACCGTCCTGCACCGCACTCCATCCATCCCCACTCCCCCGCACACCCCACTGCTCAACCCCCCGCATCAGCCCCAAGAGGCAGCAGATGGCATCAGAATGGAGGTCGCCATCATGCACAACCCAACTTTCCCCTTCCCCCCCCCCACCACAATGCACCACACTGTACCACACTGCACCGCACTCCATCCATCCCCACTCACCCCCCTGTTGCTCACCCCCCACATCAGAGTCAAGAAGCAGCTGATAACATCAGAATGGAGGTTGCCAGGAGGCACAACTCACCCTACCCTCCCGTCATACCTCAATGCACCATCTTGCACCACACCCCATCCCACCCCACCACCCCCCCCGTCCCCCCCAACCTCAGTCCCAAGAAGCAGCAGACGACATCAGAATGGAGGTTGCGAGCATGCACATCCACCCCCCCCCTTCCTCCCCTGCCACCTCAACTCACCGTCCTGCACCGCACTCCATCCATCCCCACTCCTCCCTACCACCCCCCACACCAGAGCCAAGAGGCAGCGGATGACATCAGAATGGAGGTCGCGAGCATGCTTGTACTGAAGGGGCATCCGTATATTGTCACACTGCACGATGCAATCGAAGACGCAAAGGTACGGCGCTGTGCAGTGAGACGACGCGCATCAGATATAAGACCAGCATGCTTCTCTTGTACGTACTGAAGGGCATCCTCCCTATAAAGTCACTCGCACGATGCAGTCGAAGATGCAAAGGTACAGCCTGTATGCTCAGATTCTACATTCCATGCTTCGCCTCTGCGTGTGTCACTACTGCATATGTCATTCCTTCACTGTCATATTCCGCTGTTCCGCTTCTGGAACAGTGTGACCTCTTGCACTGCACTGTAGGCCTTTTTTAAGGCTCTAAGAAGGACCCCCTCCCTCTTCTAGCAGATGTCACTGTTCCCAGTGCTCAATTTGCTTTCATCAGCTAGTCTGGGTCTAGACCCCTCGCACGTCCCAGCCCACTCCCGAACACTCTCCTCTCGAATCTCCCGTCTCCTTCTCAGCGTTCCTCCTTTCAGTATGTCCTGGTGTTAGGTGTTTCGTTGGAGCAGCAATCTTCTTGGGTTTTAAAACGTTTTTTAAGTGCGTTGCCAAAGCCCATCCATCACCTTACTCCCTTTCTCCCCTTCCCCCCCCTTTGCACGTCCACCTGGTGAAGGAATTCTGCCAGGGCAGCAATCTATTCAATCTCATCACCAAGGGCGGCGCATACTCGGAGCCTCAAAACCCACCTCGCGCCCCTTCCCTCCCTCTCCAACCCTCCCCCCCCTCCCTTCCCCTCAGTACGCTCATTTAGTGATGGAGTTCTGTAGCAGGGGCGATCTGTTCGATCGCATCACCAAGCGCGGAGTGTACACAGAGCCTCTGGCGCCACCTGTGCCGCGATCACAGATGCGCTGCTGAGCTGCCACCGCTGCCACACACACTAATACACCGAGGTCAATCTCCATAGTCCTCCTCAAATCCTTTCCCAAATCCCTTCTCTCGTCCCTTTCCGGCCCCCCTTCTCCCCATCCTCTCCCCCCCTCAGCACGTGCATTTAGTGATGGAGTTCTGTCGCGGCGGCGATCTATTCGATCGAATCACCAAGGGCGGAGTGTACTCAGAGCCTCTGGGCGCCCACCTGTGCCGCGCAATCATAGAGGCGCTGCTGCACTGCCACCGCCACGGGGTGATTCACCGGGACATCAAGCCGGAAAACATTTTACTGCTGGAGCCTGGGAGTGACACACGCATCAAGCTTGTCGATTTCGGCGTTGCGACCTTCTTCCAGGAAGGTACGTATGGGCATGGTACTTGTCAATGCACTGCACCACACTGCACTGCATGGCACCGCTCTGAACCACATGGCACCGAGTTGCAGTGCTCTGCTGCACTGCCACCGCCACGGGGTGATTCACTGGGACATCAAGCCGGAAAACATTTTACTGCTGGAACCTGGGAGTGACACACGCATCAAGCTTGTCGACTTTGGCGTCGCCACGTTCTTCCAGGAGGGTATGTCTTTATTGTTTCTTATGATGCACCGCTGCACACTGCACCGCACTGCACTGCACTGCAATCTTGAGACCGCACTGCGCCGCACGTCACCGAATCTTACCGTTCTGTGCTTCATTGCAGTCCCTTAACTGATTCTGCCTGCACCCTTGCCGGTCTTCTCTTCCAGTTCTCAAAGTCCGCATTGTCTCTTCACTCGTGCTCACTCATCAAGTCGTGCCCAACACTCGCACAACAAGGCGTTCTGCTCCACGACACCATCGGCATATGGCGCCGGAGGTGTGAGACGGGTGCAGTTCCTCCCCCCTGCTCGCATGCAACCATCTCCCCTGCTTCCCCACGCCACCCACCAGGCGTTCTGCTCCACGACACCATCGGCATGCCCGAGTACATGGCGCCGGAGGTATGGGGTGGGTGACTTTCTCCCCCTGCTCAACACACTCACCCATGTTTTCCCATACCTCCCACACATTCCCAACCCATCAGGCGTTCTCCTCCACGACACCATAGGCACGCACGCCCGAGTACATGGCGCCAGAGGTGTGGGACGGGTTTCTCTCTTGCCCTCCACAATACACCCAACCATCACATTTCGTTCCCATATCTCCCACACTCCCCACCCTCCAGGGGTTTTGCTCCACGACACTATCGGCACGCCCGAGTACATGGCTCCAGAGGTGTGGGATGGGAGCTATGGCCCAGCAGTGGACGTGTGGAGCACGGGGGTTGTCATGTACATTGCCATGTCAGGTGTGCCGCCCTTTTGGGCGGCATCCAAGCAGTCCGTGCAGGAGGCAGTCGCCACCCGCGAGGCGAGCTTCCGGTCGGCGAAGTGGGCGCATGTTTCGGACGAGTGCAAGCATCTGATTGGCCGGATGCTCGCGAAGAAGCCTCAGGAGCGAATCACGTGCCTTCAGATTCTTGGTAAGTGCGAATTGCTGGCGGAAAGTGCCAGTTTTTGGTGATTGAGATATGTAAATCGTTCCATATGGGGTTTAGTTACGTGTTATCTCTCTTATCTTGACATTCTCTGTTGCTTGTTTGTTTTTCAGGGCATCCATGGATACGCCAGCATTCGTCCCGCTAACTATTAAACAATTACTAGTTTGCTAACAAAGGTAGTACCCAGCAAGATTGTAGCAGATTCTATTAAATTATTTTCTGGCTGTACCCTTGGCTATCCCAAAACCGTAGATTGTTCATTTGTACGATTTTTGTGAAACGTTCAGTTTCTGATATGATCTTTTTTCAATATAACATTACAGGAATGCCGTGATTCAAGGTACGGTAGTAACTGCTGGAGTGTTTGTCTGCAACACAATGATGTGAAACGCTTGTATGAGTTTTTCTACATTAAGTTGCACTTACACTGTTACAGGGGGTTTTCCTGTTCACTTTGCACAGTAACTCCCAACCCCATCCTTATCTTTATCTTCTTGGATTTCCTAGTGCCACGTGGCACTCTACTTTTCTTGCCTCTACTTTCTAGTCCCACGAAGTACTTTCCGACATTCGACCTTGCATGCTATATCATCCTTGCTTGTATCCACCAATATCAATCAATTCTCATTCAACTCTTTTTCAATTACTCAGTAACTTCTTCGCCTATTTCGCCAATAGTTCTTTCGCCAAAGTCTTCCGCCGCGTTTCATCCTCGACTTAGGGTACGTTCCTGTGGAGACACTTGTGTCTCAATCCTTTTGTGACGCGTAAAACCAGCTTATAACGTACAATGTCACAAACGCGTGTCGCCCTTGTGCGACTTTTAATGTATTTTTCATTTGTCAGCGTGAAACGCGCTGATGTCGCGGACGAGTTGCGTATCGACCCGTCATTGTCAACAACTCTGTACGCGGTTCGAAATGTCAATGCACCTGGACATTCCATAGTAAAAATCTCGCGCGGGAAAAAGTTCCGCTCGTCAAAACACCACCAGAACCAGACAGTTGAAGAAGCAGGTGTTCAGTCAAGTTTGAAATCCAATCAAATGAGCACAGCTGTAAATTTCGCCTGGTCGCACAGTTTCGTGATACACTCAATTTTTGTGACGCGAGATTGCAAAAATGTGTAGACGCGACTCGGAAAAAAGGGGATTGAGCCACAAGTGTCTCCACAGGAACGTACCCTTAGTCGACTCCGCTAATTCTTTAGCGAACTTAGGCCAGCGGGCCTAACACTTGGTATCAGGAGCCTTCGAGGGGAGCGATTTCCAACGAGCGACCGTCGACGACGAGACTACGACGTCATCGTCCCGCGGTGCCGACTTGCAGACTTGGAGTCGTCGAGCCAACATGGACGAGACCATGAACGCTCTCCCCAACGACATGGGCAACACGCTTGCTCAACTCATGCGCCAACTCGAACAGTTGACGTTGGAAAATCGTCAGGTACGAGCTGAAATGCAACAGCTTCGTGAATTCGCGTCAATTTCTCATGGTTATGCCGCACCATCTCCTACACCCAACACGTCGACTAGCGCGAAAGCGCTGCCGGAACGTCGAAGCGCACTCAAGCCGCAGAAACCCGAGTCGTTCGACCCAAGTCAACGCGACGCGAACGTGCGGACGTGGCTCTTCATGCTCAACAATTATTTCGCCGCGAGCGGGGTGCAAGAGGCGGACGCGCAGCAGCGGATCGAGTACGCCGTTACGCTGCTGAGGGGCCCGGCCTTGGAGTGGTGGCGCCAACTCACGCAAACTGCTGTAAGAAGGGCTCAGACAGACGGGCATCAACAGGGCGTGGGGCATGCAGCTGCAACCTCGAGCTTAGGGAGTTTAGCTTTGGGTGTTACCACGGTTCCGACGACATGGGAAGGATTTGAAGCGGCGCTGAAAAGTAGGTTCGACTTGGTGAATGCCTCCGAAGCTGCTAGGAAGCGTCTGCGTCATTTCCGACAGATAGGAAACGTCCAGGAGCACACACGACGGTTCTTGAGCATCTGCAACGAAATAGATTACATCACGGAAGCAGAGATGCGCGATCGCTACCTCGAAGGGTTGAAGCCGGACATAGCGGAAGTTATAGCGATTCACGGGTTGTCCACCTTCGAGTCAGTTGTCGCAGCCGCAGAACGCGTCGACGCAGTACGAAGCCGACGGGGTCATGACGATCGCGATAGGGGATACAACAGACCGATCAACGACGCTCGATCGAGGGACGGACCATCCCCCATGGAGATTGGTGCAGTTAACAGTGACGGCTCACAGAAAACGGGATTTAGGGGGAACTGTCACTACTGCAAAAAGCCGGGACACATGAAGCGGGACTGCCCACAGCTTAAGGAGCGGCAGCAGGGAAACGGAAACCGCCAGTAGATAGCGGGTCGCTAGCTGGTGTGGAGGTTCCCGTACCCGCCACGTCTACCAACGTAGAGGAGACGGCTTTGCAGCAGTCATCTACGGAGAACGAGGTAGACACTGTTGACCGACCTTTCGTGCTTCTAGGGAAGCTTCGCGGAGTTCCGGTTAAGATTCTCGTAGATAGCGGAGCTAGCCACTCGTTCGTTTCATCATCGCTTGTTAGTCGCCTCCATCTCGAAGCAGATTCCGCAGTCAACATCAAGGATGCTCGCATGATAGATGGGACGCCACTTCACATAGGACCGGTCATTCGTAAGTTGCGCGTAGTGCTACGACCCATCGCAGTTAGGCGTGATTTCGACTCTGCGACGCTGGACGGTTACGACTTCATCTTCGGTAGGGATTGGCTACGGACGGTTAGTATTCAGTTCGATTGGGCTCAGGGAAGCTGCAGCGTCAAGGTAGACGGGGAGTTCCGGGAGCTGCCACAGTGGAGTGATGGGGCCACATCCTCCACAGCCATCATCAATGCTGTTCGTGTGCGGCAGCTGGTGAAGCGTGCGGCACGGATCTTCGCGGTTTTCCTTGAGGAGGTGGAAGCTGAGGAGGGGAAAGGAGGGAGTGCAGCAGTTGGTGAGAAGGCGACTCTTCCTGCTGAGGTGAGTGCACTGTTAACAGAGTTCGCAGACGTCTTCCCCGACGAGTTGCCCCCAGGGTTGCCTCCCAGCCGAGCAGTAGACCATCGGATAGAGTTAGAGCCGGGGAGCAGGCCAGTAGCGAAGCCGCAGTGGAGGTTGAGTCCAGCAGAGACAGAGGAGATGACGCAGCAGGTTAGGCACTTTCTCGCGCAGGGTTTCATACAGCCTTCTAGATCGCCTTGGGCAGCACCGATCCTTTTCGCGCCTAAGAAAGACGGAGGGTTACGGATGTGCATAGACTACCGCGCACTGAACGCCGCCACCGTCAAGAATAGATTCCCAGTTCCGAGAGTAGAAGATCTCCTAGATGCAGTGCAGGGCGCTAGAGTTTTCTCCAAGATCGACCTCCGTTCGGGTTACCACCAGATTCGCGTAGTTCCAGAGGACCAGCACAAGACGGCGTTTCGTACGAAGCAGGGGTTGTACGAGTTTAGGGTTCTACCGTTCGGATTGACCAACGCCCCAGCGACGTTTCAGACGCTCATGAACACCGTCCTCTCCGAGTTCCTAGGTTCGTTCGTTGTAGTTTACCTAGACGACATCCTAATATTCTCCAAGACGAAAGAGGAGCACGTGCAGCACTTGCAGAAGGTCTTCGAGGTTTTACGGAGGGAGCAGCTGTACGCTAAGCAGTTGAAGTGCGAATTCTTTCTCCCCGAGGTCGAGTTCCTAGGACACGTCGTATCCGCTAGTGGCATTAGGACCGACCCGAAGAAGATCGCAGCAGTACAGGATTGGGTAGCACCGACCTCAGTCAAGGAGCTGCAGAGCTTTCTCGGATTCGCCAATTACTATCGTCGTTTCGTTCAGGGTTACGCATCGATCGCTAGTTCACTCACCGACCTACTTCGGAAGGGCGTAGATTTCGATTGGGGTCCAGCGCAGCAACAGGCGTGCGAGCAGATGAAGCAGTCGCTCACGTCTTCACCGACACTGTCGTACCCAGATCCCACTCGCCCATACGTTGTAATGACCGACGCATCAGATCGGGCCATAGGAGCAGTGCTTCTTCAGGACCAGGGACGCGGGTTGCAGCCGATTGCGTACGAGTCGCGTAAGCTTAGGTGAGCGGAATTGAACTACCCCATACACGACAAGGAGGCGCTCGCGATCATCCATGCGTATAAGGTGTGGAGGTGCTACCTAGAGGGGGCAGATAGTGTTATACGCACGGACCATTGCTCGCTTCACTTTCTCAAGTCGCAGCCGCAGCTGAGTCGTCGCCAGGCTAGATGGATGGAGTTCATGGAGGGGAGTTTCCATTACAGGATAGAGTACAAGCCAGGCGTTCGCAACCCAGCAGATCCGCTCACTCGCCCTAGTTGCCAGCTCGCCAGCCTCACAGTCACTGCCGGCCATCCACTTCTCACAGCACTCTTCGAGCACGATTACACAGTAGATCCTGACTTCACACCGCAGCCGCCCGCAGGAGCAGAGGTGCAGGGTAGTGTCTATATACGGAAGGGTACCACACGGATTTGGGTTCCAGCCTACCGCCCTCTTCGACAGCTCCTTCTCTCAGAGGCGCACGACGTAGTTAGTGCAGGGCACTTCGGAGCAGATAAGACGGCTAAGACGCTTAGTCGCACGTACTACTGGCCAGGGCTTGCAGTAGACGTAGAGGATTACATTCGCTCATGCGACACGTGTCAGCGTACGAAGTCCTCTCGCCAGCGTAAGGCAGGACTCTTGCAACCGATTCCACCGCCCGACCGCCCTTGGCAGGTCGTCACAATGGATTTCATCATGGCATTACCGCGCACAGTCAGGGGTCACGACGCCATCTTCGTGGTAGTGGACAAGTTCTCTCGAGCAGCGCACTTCATCCCCACGCACGGCAAGGTCACAGCAGAGGAAGCCGCGACACTGTTCGTAGATAACGTAGTCCGACTGCACGGGGTTCCAGATTCTATCATCTCAGACCGCGACCCTCGTTTCAGTTCGAAGTTCTGGAAGCAGCTTTTCGCACTGTTTGGGACTCGCTTAGCCATGTCGTCTGCGTACCATCCAGAGACAGACGGACAGACCGAGTGTGTGAACCAGACCTTGGAGCAGATTCTTCGCAGCATCACGATGCACGACGCAGCCGC